ATAGATAAAATACAGATAATACTTGTACTAGTACTCCAATACTAGTACCATCCCAGCGACCTGTTACTTCAAAAATGATTTTTCACCACAACTATCAATTGTTTTTTTCTTGTTTCGTTTCTCTGATGTCTCTTCTCAGTTTAACCCCCTAGTGGACGGATGAGGAGTTTACACCTCACCAAGTCTTTTTTTTTGTTGAGACCAACTGGGTTGTAAAGAGTTTTTAGTAAAAATGTTCAAAATTGAAGTATTTGTCACTGTGACAAATAACTGCACACACAAATAACGTGACCTCTGCTTTTAACCCAACACCAAAGTCAGCAGGGGGCAACAGTGAGTGCCATGCTCAGAGCAACTCAGTGGTAACTTGGCAGCTGTTGGATTCGAACCTGAAACCTTCCTGACCAAATTCCGCTTCCTTACCCACCGAGCCCCCGCCGCCCGATTGGTGTAAAATCTTTGCTCACTTTCTGTCCCGCCGGCTTTGTTAACTATGAACTTTGTGTAAACCTGCGGTCCAATAACAGAGGTAGAGACAGTGTTGGACAGACGGAGACACTGTACCTGTCAGGGTTCTGTGGACACACGTGCATCTGTAACAGGATTCTCTGGGTGAAGGTCTTGAAGCACTGCCCGCACTTCCACAGGTGCCAGTCGCTGAACTCGCTGCTCAGCTGGCTGGTCGAGGTCGGACTCGCCAGAACGCGCTGGTTCTTCAGCCCCAACTGGCCGTAGCCCGAGTCCGACTGCATCCCCACCTTGTCCAACAGGGGGAAGCTCCTGGGGCAGGGGGAGTGGGGGAAGACCATGGACCGCAGGAGCGTGGTGGAGGGAGTGGAGGCGGCCGAGGAGGAAGAGGAGGAGGAAGAGGAGGAGGAGGAGGGTTTGCCGTTCTTGCCGAAAGGTTGGAAGGACTCCTGTCTGGACATGATCTCCACCACGGTGGCCGGGACGTTTACTGCAGGCGTAAAGAAGAGGGGGCGGGGCTTCATTAGACAAAAAAGTCAGACACAAACTGAAGACGAGAGATAAATATGAACAGAGTCGTATTAGATATAATGAAATGATTACACTTTTTATCTGAGGGCAGCTGTGGATTAACAACAATTACTCATGATTAATCCATAACTGTTGTACCGTAAGTTATAGCCACGTTCTCAGAAATACCGCCTTTTTTTAACGCTCAATTTTGTCCAGGGTGGTGAAAATTCCAATGCACTTTGATCTTTATATACCTTAAAATCATCCATCCATCCATCCATCTATTTATTCATCCATCTATTCATCCATCCATCCATCCATCAGTTTATCCATCCATCCATTAAATATACACTTTATATACTATAGTAAATATATAAAATACTTTTGTAAACTCTCCTTCACACAGGTATTTTTTGGTGTGCATATCCAACATCCTCTCCTGTACTGTCCTGTACCATCCTGTCCTGTGCTGTCCTGTACCGTACTGTTCTGTATCGTCCTGTCCTGTACCGTCCTGTCCTGTACCATCCTGTCCTGTACAGTCCTGTCCCGTACCATACTGTCCTGTCCTGTACCACACTGTCCTGTACCATACTGCCCTGTCCTGTCCCGTACCTTACCATCCTGACCTGTACTGTCCTGTCCTGTCCCGTACCGTCCTGACCTGTACTATCCTGTCCTATCCTGTCCTGTACCATACTGTCCTGTCCCGTCCCGTACCATACTGTCCTGTCCTCTACCGTACTGTCCTGTCCCGTCCCATACGGTCCTGTCCCGTATTGTCCTGTACTGTCCTGTACCATACTGTCCTGTCCTGTCCCGTCCCGTCCTGTACCGTCCTGTCCGGTCCTGCACCGTACTGTACCATACTGTCCTGTCCTGTCCCATCCTGTCCTGTCCCCCACTGTTGTCTTCCTACGACCTGCCTCCCAGGAGGTGAAAACCCTCTGTGAACCCCAGCTGAGTGTCTCTGTCCTCGGTCGGTCATCTCCATCCTCCATCCGTCACCTTCCCACCAGACGCCATTGATCCTCTAATAACTTTATGAGGAGATAATTACACCATTTGTAAGTTGCCTGACGGCGATATCGACGCCCGCGTTACGCCGAGCTCGCCCACATTTAATTCATTTCACTACATTGGATACGTTGAATTTATACAGTAAATGCCAGTCAATAAAGTTTGGGCTCTGCATGAAATGCATCATGGGAATTGTAGAATTATGCTAATGTAGTTTGAAACCATTTAAAGTCCAGTTTACAGGAGTGAGACTGAGAGATGGACAAGAAGACGAGTCTCCGTCCCCGCGTTCTGTCCTGGAACTCCTTCTGGTCCTTGACTTGGCATCGTGACAAACCCAGTGACTCGTTTCCTAAAAACCAGGGATGTCCAATCATATTGGACAACCGATATTAGCATAATTAGGTGATATCGGTAAGAATCGTTATCGATTTTTCCTCCGATAATGATAAACCCGATAACGCAATGCCTGGGTGTCGCACAGATTATTGTCATTGTAACACAGCGCATCACTGCACATATTGATATCAGTTGATATTGCAATCGAAAAAATAAGTGTATGGGCAATATCGGCACATTGGATATCGACAATAAAAATAATATTGGACTTCCCCACTAAAACATATTTATTTGTCTATTTATTACGTTTAAATCAGCGGTGATTGCTGGTCTGGTCTATTAGCACAATTATGTAATGTCGTTATCGCAAGAATCGTTAATGATTTTTCCTTCCGATAAAAGAAAATCCGATAACGCAATGCCTGGCTTTCGCACAGATGATGTGACTTTAAAAGTTTTGAAGTGAAAATGAATTATTGTCATTGTAAGAAAGTACACTACTGCGCATATCGATATCGCAATTGAAAAATAAGTGTATGGGCAATATCGGCACATTGGATATCGACAATAAAAATAATATTGGACTTCCCCACTAAAACATATTTATTTGTCTATTTATTACGTTTAAATCAGCGGTGATTGCTGGTCTGGTCTATTAGCACAATTATGTAATGTCGTTATCGCAAGAATCGTTAATGATTTTTCCTTCCGATAAAAGAAAATCCGATAACGCAATGCCTGGCTTTCGCACAGATGATGTGACTTTAAAAGTTTTGAAGTGAAAATGAATTATTGTCATTGTAAGAAAGTACACTACTGCGCATATCGATATCGCAATTGAAAAATAAGTGTATGGGCAATATCGGCACATTGGATATCGACAATAAAAATAATATTGGACTTCCCCACTAAAACATATTTATTTGTCTATTTATTACGTTTAAATCAGCGGTGATTGCTGGTCTGGTCTATTAGCACAATTATGTAATGTCGTTATCGCAAGAATCGTTAATGATTTTTCCTTCCGATAAAAGAAAATCCGATAACGCAATGCCTGGCTTTCGCACAGATGATGTGACTTTAAAAGTTTTGAAGTGAAAATGAATTATTGTCATTGTAAGAAAGTACACTACTGCGCATATCGATATCGCAATTGAAAAATAAGTGTATGGGCAATATCGGCACATTGGATATCGACAATAAAAATAATATTGGACTTCCCCACTAAAACATATTTATTTGTCTATTTATTACGTTTAAATCAGCGGTGATTGCTGGTCTGGTCTATTAGCACAATTATGTAATGTCGTTATCGCAAGAATCGTTAATGATTTTTCCTTCCGATAAAAGAAAATCCGATAACGCAATGCCTGGCTTTCGCACAGATGATGTGACTTTAAAAGTTTTGAAGTGAAAATGAATTATTGTCATTGTAAGAAAGTACACTACTGCGCATATCGATATCGCAATTGAAAAATAAGTGTATGGGCAATATCGGCACATTGGATATCGACAATAAAAATAATATTGGACTTCCCCACTAAAACATATTTATTTGTCTATTTATTACGTTTAAATCAGCGGTGATTGCTGGTCTGGTCTATTAGCACAATTATGTAATGTCGTTATCGCAAGAATCGTTAATGATTTTTCCTTCCGATAAAAGAAAATCCGATAACGCAATGCCTGGCTTTCGCACAGATGATGTGACTTTAAAAGTTTTGAAGTGAAAATGAATTATTGTCATTGTAAGAAAGTACACTACTGCGCATATCGATATCGCAATTGAAAAATAAGTGTATGGGCAATATCGGCACATTGGATATCGACAATAAAAATAATATTGGACTTCCCCACTAAAACATATTTATTTGTCTATTTATTACGTTTAAATCAGCGGTGATTGCTGGTCTGGTCTATTAGCACAATTATGTAATGTCGTTATCGCAAGAATCGTTAATGATTTTTCCTTCCGATAAAAGAAAATCCGATAACGCAATGCCTGGCTTTCGCACAGATGATGTGACTTTAAAAGTTTTGAAGTGAAAATGAATTATTGTCATTGTAAGAAAGTACACTACTGCGCATATCGATATCGCAATTGAAAAATAAGTGTATGGGCAATATCGGCACATTGGATATCGACAATAAAAATAATATTGGACTTCCCCACTAAAACATATTTATTTGTCTATTTATTACGTTTAAATCAGCGGTGATTGCTGGTCTGGTCTATTAGCACAATTATGTAATGTCGTTATCGCAAGAATCGTTAATGATTTTTCCTTCCGATAAAAGAAAATCCGATAACGCAATGCCTGGCTTTCGCACAGATGATGTGACTTTAAAAGTTTTGAAGTGAAAATGAATTATTGTCATTGTAAGAAAGTACACTACTGCGCATATCGATATCGCAATTGAAAAATAAGTGTATGGGCAATATCGGCACATTGGATATCGACAATAAAAATAATATTGGACTTCCCCACTAAAACATATTTATTTGTCTATTTATTACGTTTAAATCAGCGGTGATTGCTGGTCTGGTCTATTAGCACAATTATGTAATGTCGTTATCGCAAGAATCGTTAATGATTTTTCCTTCCGATAAAAGAAAATCCGATAACGCAATGCCTGGCTTTCGCACAGATGATGTGACTTTAAAAGTTTTGAAGTGAAAATGAATTATTGTCATTGTAAGAAAGTACACTACTGCGCATATCGATATCGCAATTGAAAAATAAGTGTATGGGCAATATCGGCACATTGGATATCGACAATAAAAATAATATTGGACTTCCCCACTAAAACATATTTATTTGTCTATTTATTACGTTTAAATCAGCGGTGATTGCTGGTCTGGTCTATTAGCACAATTATGTAATGTCGTTATCGCAAGAATCGTTAATGATTTTTCCTTCCGATAAAAGAAAATCCGATAACGCAATGCCTGGCTTTCGCACAGATGATGTGACTTTAAAAGTTTTGAAGTGAAAATGAATTATTGTCATTGTAAGAAAGTACACTACTGCGCATATCGATATCGCAATTGAAAAATAAGTGTATGGGCAATATTGTCACATCGGATATTGACAAAAAATTAATATTGGACTTCCCTACTAAAACATAAATATTTGTCTATTTATTAAGTTTAAAATTATTTTGATGTAAATTAAATGACAATCAGTGTTTCTCCTTTGACGAAGACCTTGTTTTTTAAGACGGAAACTAAACCGAAGTTGTTCCGAGATAAATGACGAAGACATTTAATCATGTATCAGTCAAATACATTTTTTTTTTTAAAAATCCATCCATTCATTTTTATCCGCTTATCCGTTACCGGCAGTCTCCACGACCGCCACCCAAATCACAGCACTGTACCAACCCCCTCTGAACCTTCCTGCGGGTGGTGAGTCCACTGGAAGGTACCAACCGCCCTGACCGGGATTCGAACCTGCCCAGGAGGTGAACCCTGGGGTTCTACACCAATGACAGAGACACTGACCTCTGGGCCACAACGCTACCAAATTTAAAAATTCTGACAAGAATATGAAGCCGTGAAGTCACAGCCTTCAGTCAAATCTGAAACCAACTCCTCTATTTTGCTTCCTCTTCTACTTGTCGTTCTCCCCTCCTGTTCCTGTTTCTCCTCTACTCCTTCCCCGTCTCCCCCCAATCAACATTTCCGTCTGGTTTCTCTGCGGCAGGATCAACAGAGTTGAAATTCGAAAGAGAAGACGGAGTTTAAAGCTCACGGAGATGTGACTGATCTCTCCTCAGCCATCACAGTACGTTTCTATTGTTAGGCAGCAGCGGAGCTGCAGAGCGTCAACACGACAGGATGTGATTGGATGGAACATGCATCAGTAAACAACCACAGGGAGTGTGTGTGTATGTGTGTGTGTGTGTTTGTGTGTGTGTCGGATGAATTATATTGTTGTTTTTTTTTCTTCTCCTGATTTTTAGACTTTAATTCAATTTATCTTAAATCCAAATCTGTTTCAGATCAGGTCAAAGAGAAACAACAGTGTGTACGAAAACTGTTGTTCACCGCGGTTCATTCCATTTTACTCTTTTTGGAGGCTGAAAAGTCCAGTTTCTCTGAAACGTTTCACTCAGGTCTTATATATTTACACACTTTTTTGCAATTTTTTTTAAAAGATTGAATTAAAGCAGAAAAAAAACATAGTATGAAGTTAGGTGTTTGACTAACGTTTCTTAAAAAATACAACTACAAGGTGTTAAATTTTTTTTTATACATATCCCCTCATCACAGGTGTCGCCCTGAACTCCACCAGGTGCAGTTCCCTCTTGGAGCCGTGAACCGTAACCAGCAACAAGTCAACCACAGAAGGCTTGACTCTTACCAGGGTCCTGGAACTCAACATCACTGCAGAGACCCTGCTGGTAGACAAGATAATGGCACCCTACTACCAGCACATGGGAAAAATATAAGAAGAAATGCAAATAAGAAGGAATATAAACTCCAAAAAAAGTCAAGTTTTTTCTTTGTCTTTCTACTGTACTGAAGTCACAGTGTCGTCATATGAAACGGAGATCATTTAGTATTTATAGGAATTTATTAGACCATGATGCAAAAACAAGACAGACTTGACTCGGACTCCCATTTTGGGACTCGTCAACAATCACTAAGTTCTCTATTTTTACAGTATTAACTGTAACCGTGGTAACCGTGAGAACCATAATACACGGTCATACTAGGACAATGGTAACACTACGGCGCCCGGCCCCAAAGGTGTGGACTCAGGTCGCATGACTCGGACTCCTGTCAGACCCGAGTCATCAATTTGATGACTTTAGGCTCAACTTGACAAAATGTAAAGAGACTTGCAACTCGACTTGGACTTTAACATCAGTGACTCGTGACTTCACTCGGACTTGAGCCCTTTGACTCGACAAGACTCGATACTTTCTCCCAAACCCAAAGATTATGAAGTAAGTTATTAAGGAGTGCTCTGTATCTCTCATTGCGTACATGCCGTCGGCACAACATCAAATTAGACCCACATTGTTTTGACGCAATAGCATCAAGTCAATCAAATTGCCCCACAACCGATGAGAAAGAGCCATCAAACAATGCGCGGGTGAGAAAAAATGATACCAAAGATCGTGTTGTTCGGATTTAAAAACTACGAGGTGGTCAACATAAAACGAGCCGCAGCGATCTGTGTAAATATATTATTATTTTCTTTAAAAAGACTCGAAACAGAAACGGCAAGACTTGGGACTTGACTTGACGCTTTTCAGTCTTGACTTGAACCCCACTCGGACTTCGCCTGTCTTGACTTGAGACTTGACTCGGACTTGAGTGTAAAGACTTGAGACTCACTCGTGACTTGCAAAGCAATGACTTGGTCCCACCTCTGCCCGGCACACCTACAGCTAGCTGTACAGCATTAGCCGCAGACAACAGAACGCTCGTCACAACCAGAAGAGACTTGAGACTTGACTTGTGACCAAATGCCTGAGACTTGATCAAGTCCCACCCCACAAAGACCCGACTTGGACTTGCAAATAAAGACTTGTGAGCATCAAATGCAAATACATTTGATCTTTGTTCCTCATTCAATTTCATTCCACACTCTAATAAAAAAAAATATTTCAAATGTTCTATTTCCTGTTACTACATCACAGGTCAAAGGTTTCACCACAAACCCTCAACCAAAGTACCGTATACCAACATATACTACTTATTCGGTACCAGCTGCGGTGGTCATCTCCAATGTACAGACTCAAACAGTGTCGGGCCAGGAATGTCTTCTCCCAACAGGACACCAAATCGCTGTCGTGTCTCCGAACTGTGAGACAATGACAGTCGGGCAGAAAATGGTTCCGCGAAGAACCTCTAACCCAGTTCACCGTCTGATGTCTTTCATTTAGAAAAAAATGAAAGACCAAAGACAGATCATTTAGTTTAACTTCATTTGGATGTGTGGAAACTGTTCACCGCAGGCAACACAAGACAGCCCATCCTTTTTAGTTTATTGAGACCCAGACCTGGTCCAAATGAGGCGGGAGGAGCCGTTTTTTTCCAGGTCTCTGGTTAAAGTCTAGATGAAGACATTCGTCTAAAAATGTGAACGTTATTTGGGTAAAGGTTAGTGTTAGTCATTACTAGTCAAGGTAATGGGTTTAGAGATGGAGCTCTGCTCAGGCTGCACTAATGAACTGAAGCCTACGTGCACGGGCATGTGTTTGTTTGTCAAAGTCCAAATGTCTTCTCATGAAAAGAAATACATTTTCTTTGTGTTTTTGTTCGCCGAAAAATACACACACACACACACACATATACACGTCTCTGATCTGCGGTGAGTTCAATGGAAATTAAACACAGGCGTAAACGAAAGTTGAAAGTTTGAAAAAAACTCGTACCAACACGTGACGTCAGACTTTCACAGACATGACACAGCGACAAAGGCTGAACAAAAACGTACAAATAAAGCCTCCGGAAACACGAGTTTGACATGTTTGAACTGACAGATAAAATCCTTGAATCCTTGAAAAAAAAACAAAAAAACCAACAACTCCCGTCTGTCATTGCTCTGTCACCAAAACACAAACGTCTTCAATTTACCTGCACCTGCATTAAACACCGCTAACTGAAATCAACTGCTAGCCTTTCAAAAAGATCACGCAAAAAAAAAATTTTTCAATACTATTTTTTTTCTCTACGAGAAAATGGCTTGTACAAGCAGAAAACAATGTCATGCCAGAATGTGTGTGTGTGTGTGTGTGTGTGTGTGCTTGTTTGTGTACAATAAAGAACAATGTCATGTAAGAAGCTCATTCCAGCTGTCAAACAAACCAGTTTGTGGTCAAACGTCTTAATGTGAAATCAGCACGATCTCATTTCACCGGGGCCGACCCCTAATTCAATTCATTTCAATTTAGATCCCACAGATTTAATCTCCTCCTTCATTTTCCTTCCCTTTTCTTTCTCCTCTCTTTGTCTTCCCTCTCCCTCTCACCCCCGTCCCCCCACTCCCCACGCCCTACAGGGACAAGTTTTCGTCAAATCCACAGGAAAAAAAAATCCTTTTGGAAAATATAAAAGTGGTCTGACTGGAGGAAATGTAAACATAGAAATAATTGGTGACAGAAAAAGAGGAGTTGATGGAAGTGAGACAAAAGAAAAAGAGAGAGAGGAAAAAAAAAAACAAGGAGAAGGAGAGAGGACGGAGGGGAAAAAGTCTCAGACAGAAAAACACAGACCGGGAGGACAGTGAGTAGTGAGACACTTCCTGAGTTGGTAAATAATAACAACAACAAAAATATAGGATCCAACCGACATTTATCTGTACCAAAAAAACTCAAATTCCATATTTGACGTCAACAGGTGAATATAAAACAGCTGGAAATATACACCTAAATAGCCCAGAAAACCTTCCGTACGGATACTAAAGTACCTGCACCGGAGACGCTAATGCCATTTAAAAAGTGTCTGAAGGTAAGAATCCAACACATTTAACTCCTGAGATAATCTCAACTCCAGACCATGACTGTCGGTCTAAGCCGTCCAGTCCAAACAATTTGGGTCAAAACAAACCCGACGAAACGACTTATTCGCAGGAAACCAGTTCCTGACAGACAAAAAAATATCCTCCCCTACTTTCAGAACCTCTGCCCTAAAGTATAGACAACGACAAAATAGTTTTGAGCTTGACACATCGACAGTTGTTGACAAAATTTCTTACAGTTTTCGTCCTGCGCGATGCACTGGAGCGGGATGCCGAAGAAGGAAGTGTAGGAGTCGTTGTACCAAACCAGCAGCTCTGTCCCTCTGGGGATGTCCATGCAGGCTCTGTAGAAGATACAGGACCTGCAAACAAGGAACCCAAAAGTATGTATACTTTAGTATGTATCTAAATATATATATATATATGTATATATGTATATATAAATTATTTATATAATTTAGTATGTATACTTTAAGATACTTAGTAGTTAGTATGTATAAATGTATGTATGTATGAATTATTATTATTATTTAAAAACAATTTTAAACTCATTCATATGAGACATTTTAGAAAGAAAAAAAAAAGAAAAAAATCGATATGAACCGACTTTCGATACACACAGCGATATTTCAATATATTAATATGTATCGATATATTTCTGGTACGTCATATAAGACAATAGCGTTTTGTATCGCTATAGTTTACTTTTGCGTTAAAAATTACGTTAGTGTCCACTCGGGACGCTCGTGTTGGTTTGTTCGTTTGTTTTTAAGGTTCGTCAATAAATAGCGATAGTATGTCGTACCTACATTTACGTTGAAAACTGACAGACAGAGACACCGGGTGAAAACTCTTCCAGTTCGGGTCCGCCATTTTGTTCGCGTCTCCGATACTCTTGTAGGAAACAGAAAGCGAGGAGGTTTCGTTGTAACGCTGCTAATTAGCCTAGCAGCGCCGGCCACACAAACGTAACTCCGCTACCCGCTAACATTGATTGACGTTGTTACCGCCTACATCTTGCCGGGCTTTTTCCGGTCACGTGACGTGGCGGCGCCGTCATCGTTCTAGATAGTGTTTTTACAGAAATTCCGCTTTTTAACAACCAAACAGCGTCATAACGTCGTTGTCTTCTTCTTAGGACAATTTTTTTTTTACCATTTTTTAGCATTGTGGGAATTAGCATCCCGTGTTTTCTGTGATTTAACAGGTCGAACAACAATAAATCACTCCCATTGAAATAAAATATAAATCTGTGGAATTAAAACACAATACGCTGCATTATCAACAAAGGTTAAAATACGTTTTAAAAATGTTTTATTTATGGCAAAATGACCCAAAACCAAAATGGCTTCTTGATGCTTCTGTTAAGTGTTGCATGTGTTATTGTGTCCTCCACACAGGGGGGAGGGTGGAGACGATGCTGTACCCATGTGAAAACACAGCCAGCAGGGACTGAGCTATAAATCAAAGACACCCACAGCACCTTTTATGTATTTGAAACAACTGCCCGTGTTCAACACATACACGCTGCTCCATTCTGGCGGGGCTGTACTGTAAATCAAACACATCCCACTGGCTCTCAGGTATGAAAAATAAAGCCCCCTGCTGGCGGGCGGACCGCGGTTGGTTCCCGTGGCCCCCGCAGCGGGACACGGCCTCGTCAGCTCTCTGATCTCTCCTCTGTTTTCATACAAAGCAAAACTAGTTTTATAATCAGGTTTGAAATGATAACAAGACACGCACGCATACGAGCGGCGTGAGGTCGTAAATCAGGGGAAACCCAAATACCGTAAAGGGCCTAATAAAGTGTCCACATGTGGATAAACATGTTGATCTGAAATCCATCAAGATGACAAAGTAGCCACGGCACCGCTCCGAGGTTGGCGACGAGATCCAGGAACATCGTGACCTCAGAGGAGCCGATACTGAGGAGTGACTCGTTAGAGCCGACGAAACGTAAAACTATATATTGCTATATATGGAGTTAGTCCAGAACCGGAACCTGAGATCCTATGAGAACCTAATCCCGTGACCGCTAGGCCACAGGTTGACAACCGTTCTACTGCTGCTGTCGTTTGACACCAGTGTCAGAGGAAATGATTCATGACGAATTCGCAGGAATTGAAGAAAATACTTAAGGATAAAGTAAACACTTGGACATTTAGCAGAAATGGACACATTTATGGGACAAATATTAAAAATATTTGTATAAAAATTATCTTCTTTAATGGTATTTTCGTCAAAGAATGTTAAAACGTAACCATAAAGTTTTCTCTTCTCTTTCTCTTTCTCTTTTTTTTCAATTTCATTAACGACTTTCCACATTTTGTCAATTTCAGTTGTTTCCGAACAGAAAATAATGTTTTTTTTTGTACTTCTGTAAAAATCTGTTGTTGTTACTAAAAATAAAATGTCTGATTGATTTGGCCGCTGACATTACGGAGCTGATACTTTGTCAATATTTTATGAAAAAACATCGCCGGCAAGATTCCGCCTGGAAAGTACGCCGACTAAAAATACGATTGGAATGAATCACATTTTGACAAAAACAAAGAGTTGGAAAGTTAAAAACGACTTCACGTGCAGTGTCGACACCTGAAGTCGAAGAAGACGAACCGATCTCTACAGCTGCAGGTTTTTTTTTTTGTTTGTTTGTTTTTTTATTTTACAGCTTTTGTTTCGTAGCGATGATCCAGGTCAGAGGTCGCGGTGTTCTCACCTGTACTGCACCACCATCATGTTCTGCTCCCCGCAGTGTCGGGCACAACGGATGTACCTCATCCAGCTGGATTTACTGGGATCATTTCCATCGATGAAATGCTGTAACGTCCCCTCAGCGTCGTAGATCTAGAACACACAGATAGACAGCGTTCAGAGAGCTTAAAGTCTTTAGGAGCCTCATCGGTTCCTATTGATGTGTGTGAGATTTTTTTTTTAAGAGTGAAAAAAAGTGAATTTTTTTGCAGCATCGGGAATTCGCTGTTTCGCAATAGGTCGCAATAAAAACACAAAATGTAAAGGCACTGAACATTTTCTGATCAAATATGAGCAGAAACAAACAATAAACACTATACAGATTCCTGGGCGCAGCGAGATACCGCATGCCCTTTGACCTCTTAAACTTGACTCGCGTCAAACCGTGACACAGTCTGACGAACATTTGATTTTTCAGCACTCCTGAGTGTAAATTGGGTGTCAAACATAAGGCCTGCGGGCCAAAACCGGCCCACCAGAGGTGTTCAATGCGGCCCGCTTGATGAATTTTGAAAGCAAAAAAAATGTTCATGATGTTTTTGTACTATTATATTTTATTAAATATGAATATTTTCTGATATATTTCAACTTCTTTGCATGGAACGTAATGAGAAAAACGTGGACTTTCTAAGTAATTATGTAACGATTGTACTGGTCCCACCGACGCTAACGGAGCGACGTTTCCCTTCGTCTCCGACTCCTGCTGCATGTCTAGTGTGATTAGTAGAGAGGGTGATTATTACTCTCTCCAGAAACACTGACACACACTTATCCACTTCACACCCGTGTCTGACATTAACAGACGGACGGACGGAGACGACACTGTTTTGACCTTTTGGACTTTTGAAGGAGGTGAAGTCGGCCTTTAATGTGAGAGCCAGATGCTCTCTTATTAGATACTGTGTGTGTGTGTGTGTGTGTGTGTTATCAGTAAAAACACTTAAAGCGGCTCAGAAGCAACGCTGGCATGTAAATGGCTCCTCCGACATCAGCGAGGGACGTGTGTTTGATGAGCTGTGAGTGTGTGTGTGTGTGTGTGTGTGTTCACCACACTTTGGTGGTTTGAGGCTCTGAACCGTCTCTCACTCCTTGTTTTTCTCAGTTTCAGTTTCTAATTTAAGTGGTGCAGAACCTGGTGTCGAATGTGCCACGGTCAGGCCCGCGAACCGCCAGTTGAGTAAACGGTCGATGTTCTCACGCTGCTGTTCTATAGCTAATCAATGCAAACGCCACGATTCTACCGTTATCATACCGTCATTCATATTTTAAAAAGTCACAAAACTTCGTGACCCAAGTCAATAGACATTGTTAAATGCCAGTTAAACAACTGGGAAACATAATAATGCAAGACGACCCAAAAATGTTTTTCTTGCGACCCACCCGAGGGTCCTGACCCAGTCTTTGGGAAGCAATGTGTTAGCCTATTCCAATTGGGGAAAATGGCGAGAACATAAATATTTAACCGTTCTCTCCTTCTGTTATTCTTTGCCTCCGATCTTCGACCTCTAGAGGTCAAAAGTCAGAGCTGGACACAACATCACGTCTGTGTCGACAAATTATTTTTTTTTCTCAGATTTTCAGATTAACGTAATCCGAACGGCTAACGGGAAGTCGAAAAGTCAACCCCGTACTCCAGTCTTTCGTGAATTAACATGGACCTGTGTTATATTGTTTACGTTTTACTGTGTTTTCGTACACACACACACACGCACACACACACGGTCCATGTCTCTCAGTAACGTCCCTCTCTTCTCCCCGTGACGTAGGTCTCTGCAGCAAAATAAACACAGATGCTGTCAGTCGTCCGTCTGTTCTGTCGTCCTGGAGTAAATCTCCGCCCCGTGGAACCAAAATGAAAGTCCAGTAAAACTCAGTCATTGTGTGTGTTGCTCTTTAACATTTTTTAATTTTTTTTTCAGTCGCCGAGGAGTCCATTTTTCAGCGGCGAGCCTCATAAAATGTCCTGCCATCATCACCATCGCCGCCTGCCGCCGCAACCGCCCAAGAGCAACACTAGAGGGAGCGGGGGGGCCTCCTTGACACCATAAATTTCAGGGTAATAATCATTCACACAGACGGATAATATTTGTCTTTCAGACCCCGATTCACCTCCACGTCCGCAGCAGGGGGGCCTCGTCTGGAGACTTTCTCACACCACGGTGAGCGCTAACTACCAAACCGGCCAAGACCAGGCAGAGGCAGCAGGCAACCAAAGCAAGGACCACGACCACGAGTTGGTACCACCATTTTTTTTAACCCAGAAGTTCAGTTGAGGTTCAACCACCAAACTGAGGAAATTCCGCAAAAATAATCATCTTGGCCGGCGTTCAACCGCACAACATACGGTGAGGTGACGTAAATAACGATGAGCGCCCCGTGTGTTTTACAGGAATATAACGTGTGATAACGTGTTATCATAATAACGTCATAAAATCATCATAACATAATCACCTCTAAATGACAAAAAGTTCGTCTTTTTCCCTTTTGTTTTCGTGCGAAAAAGGACATTAAATAAATCTTCATATTTAACTAAATATAATTTTACAAAACATTTCCTGAACATAAAGTTTTTATTTACCAAATTCATCATTCGGGCCGAATTCAAACCCCAAGTGGGCCAGTTTTGGGGCTGCGGGATGTATGTTTGACACCGCCGCCCTAAGGGTTTCAATTACGTTTAACCCCATCCTCGACACACACCACCGTGGGCTGTGGAGTTTAGTGCATCGGGGAAATGGGATTTGCGAACACAAACCGCAGTCCTTAAAAGCTATCATCGCCCTCATAAAAAAAAAAAAAAGAAAAAAAAGAAAAAAAGAAAAAAAAGAAAAAAAGAAAAAAAAGATCAGAAGTCAATAGACATTATTTGTAAACTCCTTGGAAAACATGATGCGAGACGACCCCAAAAAAAATCTCTTCTGACCCACCTGAGGGTCGCGACCCAGTCTTTGGGAAACAATGCTCTGCCCCAGTGTTGCAGAAACTTTTTTCTGGGGACCCATATTTTACAAATCACAAACCTTCGCAACCAAAGTATAGACATTTATCGTAAACTTCTTGGAAACATGATGCGAGACGACCCCCCAAAAAACCTGAGGGTCGTGACCCACTCTTTGGGAAACAACGCTTTAATCTACTTAAGGTTTAAAAACTAAACCCAAAAACATCAGCGTCAGTGTGATGTGGGAAGATGAAGCCCCCCCCCCAAAAAAAAGAAGGGTTTAGTGTTTGAATAATATTTGCAGGAAGGAATCAGATCTTTTTTGGACGGAGGTTTAAAATAAATATTTTCTGTTGGACTCGAAGCCATGTTTTAAATTGTCGTGTCAACAAACGCCGGACTGTTCCTTTAACGGACGGTTTGAAATGTGTGCGACGTAAAAGTTTGGACTGTCCGACCTGCAGAGAGGAAACAACCGCTGTGTACAAACCACACTGATTAGAACACTGCTCACACACACACACACAGACATTGTTATCCTAGCATGAAGCTACTGATGGAAACCCCCATCTTTGTTCCTGGACCTCCTGATGTAATCCGAAAAACGTGGACGGAGGTCAACCATCGTTCAGCCGAACGACCAGTAGGTGTCGTGTCACCTGATCTGGGCTGAATATTCGGGTCGTTTTATGTCGTAACATTTCATCAATATTCTTATTTGTACAAAGTAATTTGGTGAGTGTAGTATAAATATGGCTAGTTGTTTGAAGGGTAGATAAGCTAACGCCAAGCTAAAAATGTGACTAAAAACATAAAAAAAAAAAAAACTAAACCTATTTAAAAATGTTATTTCAAAAACAGATCAAATATTACAAATATAATGAAAGATATTTGAATATATATTTTATATATATTTATATATGAGACCATTTGTTCATTTTTTATTTGGATGTAGTACTCCGTAGTATTTGTTTGTATTAGTGCAGAATTCAATTGAAAAAATATTTAATATTATTGTCTATACTTTTGAAATACAGTTGGTTGATTTTATACTTTGTTACGTCATTATTAATTATTAACGTCATTATTTAGTATTTTTACATTTTGCCTTTATGATAAATATATATATATTTATATTAATATAAATATATACCTATTATAAATTTATATATATTTTTTGTATCTTCTTTGACACTTTGTCTTAGACTGCAGTATGTACATACTCCTTGTCCTACTTGGAGTACTACTGCAGTAGCTGCAGTAACGCCGACCATTTTTGCCCTGTGGTCAGAGGAGTTTTTCTGGTTTTAATTCGGCTCCGCTCTCTGATCAACAACAACATGGGAGAGATTAACAGAAGTCTGTAGTTCGACGCCGTGGAACCCAAGACTGGACTTTGTTCCAACTTGTCATCCTCACTTTTTATTTACAGGAAGAATCGAACCGAGGTTTTAGAACCTAAGTTCTCCACCGACTCCGGGAATGCATGAAGTCATACAGACGTTCGACCCGGTGCCAGACTGACATTACAAAGTAAAACATGGAATAATTTCACATGTCAAGACCAAGAAAAGACGCAGTTTCGGAAAAAACACACCAGAAACTCCAGGTTGGATTGGCCGACGGCTAAATGGTGCAGAGTTCGGAGTGAACGGCAAGAACGGGACAAATGGAAGGAAAGGTAAAATGTTTGAAAACTAAAACTAAAATCTTAGCGCATAGTCACGTAGTGTTAGCCAAGTGTTTCCGAAACATTTTTTTGGGGGACCCATATTTTAAAAGTCATAAACATTCCCGACCCAAGTCAATAAACATTACTCGTAAACAACAGGGAAACATAATGCAAGACGACCCCAAAAAAAATTTTTGCGACCCACCTGAGGGTTGCAACCCAGTCTTTGGGAAACAATGCTCTACACCAGTGTTTCCAAAACGTTTTTTTCAAAAGTCACAAAACTTCGCGACCAAAGTCAATAGACATTATTCTTAAACAACTGGGAAACATAATAATGCAAGACGACCCAAAACAATTCTTGCGACCCACACGAGGGTCGCGAACCAGTCTTTGGGAAACAATATGTGAGCCTATTCCAATTGGTAACGGTGATAACGTAAATATTTAAATGTTCACCTAAAGCCCGGAAATGTCTTTAATGGACTACAAATCTAACATTAATGTTAGCCATAAGGTTAGCTAAACTTGAGCAGAAAATTTGTAAAAAAAATTTAAAAAACAACATTAATGGCAATTAGCTGTAAGACAGCTAACGATAGCTCAGACTAAACAAAACAAATCCAAAATGTTTTTTTTAATCATATAAACAATATCTGAAAGATAGCCCAGGGGAAGCTAACCCTAAACGTAACCCTTATGAATTGAACAAACTTGGTAAAGATAGCTAATGAGAACACTGTGCCAGTTTTTCTTCAAATTAGCCCGAAAGGAGAAAACGAAAATATTAGCCCAAAAGCAGCATTAGCTAAATTAGCCAAAATTAGGTCAAATGTTGTCTGTAAAAAGGACCAGAATGCAACAAAATAAATTTTAAATAGGAAAAAATTTGAGCAAAACTTGTAAAAAAAAACAACCAAAAAAAACACAAATTAGAGATTATTATTTTTACAAAAGAAAACTGATTGTTTAAAGATTAGCGGCCATGTTAGCGCTGAACTTCAGTAAAGTCCAGGTTCAAATAAGGAAAGAATTAAATTAAGAATTTACTGCAGAAATACGTAATGTGGACATTTGTTTGGAGAAAAGCTACGGAATTTCATCGTTTGTATTTTTTAGTCGTTTTTCAGCCAACGCCGAATCAATGCTCAACTGAAATCAAGGAGTAAAAAACAAGGTGAAGCCGAACGTGTGTCGTAAACACATCAACGACGTGGAAGCGTGTCGCGTTGTGGACGATCGGGGACCTTAATAAAACCCAGAAGACAGATGGTTACGCAACCCCTGAATGATGTCATCGCAGGGGCCTTCGGTGAAACCACAAACCACTGCAAACTCTAAAGTCAATAAAAACTCTGTAGGGGATAACGTCGGAACGAGCTGATGGACAGAGCAACAAACACCAACAGACAGAAACAAACACTGACCGACGCCGACCGGAGGAGATCGGGCTCCGGGAGACGACAGGAAACAACTGCATCGGTGTCACCATGGCAACCGCTGAAGAAGTCAACGGTCGCGTTGGAATGTACCGAATTCTCCCGCGTCCCATCATCGTCCCACACGGGCAAAAAATATTTATCCTCAAGCTGCGCGGCCGTCGTGCTGCCGTGCCTAGACCTCTGATGGAAAATTTGCGTTGTTGTTGTTTTTGACAGCTCATCCACTTTGTAAAAAAAAAAACAAAACAAAAAAAACAGGAAAAGGTCAGAGTCCCGACCTCATGTTTTCGGTCGACATTCTTTACAATCAAGACCCAGACTGGGAGGTCGCTGCTGGTCACCGTGTCGCACTTTGACCCCGTCACTGTACTAATCTGAGGCGGTGATATTTTTTTACTACGTCTGGATTCCTCTCTCACGGTGGGGGGGGGGGGAGTCTGCATGCACCGACCTAAAGTACTCTAAGGCCGCGGTGAACAGCCGTAGCGTGTAGGAGATTACCACGAGGTGAAACAGTCCTGTGATTCTTCATCACCGCAGATGCAGCAAGTGATAAAAAAAGAGAATTATTCAAATGT